TGGTATATATGGTTTATGAGGACACAAATGTGTATAATGACATGGGTACTACAACGTAAACAAGGTTTATGAGGACACTTCCTGTGTCCCCGTAAAACAAAAGGCTTAAAAACCATACAAAAGGGTGTTTTATGACATTCAAAAATAGCCAGTAGTTTTTTGTGAGGGGTAGGTTTAGGTGTAGAGCGATAGAAAATAGTTTGTACAGTAAAAAAAAACATTATGCCTATGGTGAGTCCCCGTAAACCACAAATGCAAGTGTGTGTGTGCACAAATGACCTTTCCAGTTCGACTAAGAGGGCGATTAAAATAATTTGCTGAACAGAATATTACCAACATTACAACTGAATTCCCTTAAAAAGCTTATTTCACATTAAGGAAACATCGAAGAGAGAAACACAAAACTCCTTAAAATACCAACGTTTTAGGACAAGTCCCATTACAAACAGCACAATCTATGTGGACACAACCGGGTATTAGACAAGACGGTAAAATAAGCTTTACAAGAGGCACAGATTTCTTTGACCCCTAAAAGGCCAAACACAATTCAAATTCACAATATTTAAACTACAGTGCCATTCTGTCTCCAGTCCGGGTCTGTAGCTGATACTGAACAAATAGAGGAGCCCGGTTTGTTATTTTCTTGCACATGAGCTCTGTAACTCTGCTCCTGAAATACAGGTGGATTATCATTCACGTCAGCTACAGTCAGGTGAATATTCTTAGTGGAAGATAAAGGCGGGGAGCCCTCATCAGTAGCAGTAATTGTAATATTATAACCTATGTGGACACAACCGGGTATTAGACAAGACGGTAAAATAAGCTTTACAAGAGGCACAGATTTCTTTGACCCCTAAAAGGCCAAACACAATTCAAATTCACAATATTAGCAATAAACAAATAATTACTTTTTTTCGTGAAACAAGCCTCATGACTCCTCATACATACCAGAAAAAGTACACTTAATGCAGTTTCTTTTCCGATTTCAAACTGTCCTTCAAAATTGTCAACGTGTCTGCAGTTATAAAAAGGCAGTCAACATAAAACACAGATACGCTTTAACTCAACAAGTTCTAAATAAAATAAAATAAAAAATATATATTTAAGAAAGACTAATTCCTACCTGAAACGAATCGAGCATTTCCGCATCAAGCCCTTCAAGATCATCCACAGCGGATTGAGTCTTGTTCAGAGTCAGGTCAGCAGTCAGCGTGCCCTCGTTATAAGATCTGACGAACTTGAAGTCACTAGTGCGCGAGCCCGTGGTCAGGTATGCGTCATAATTGTAAGTGCTGCGGAGAGTTCCCGCGCCCCATTGACATCAATAACATCTATTAATACAGAACAATGATTGGCTAACCCTTGACCATCTTTGGCTTGAATTGGCAGTTCAATTGAACTCACATCCTCATAATCAATCAGCCCTGCTAGTTTAATCTCTCCAGATAAGGAATTAAGAGAAAATATTTCCAAAAGCCGTTCGGATAAATGGCCAAATTCATAAGTCACTTCTCCATTTTGTCCCTCGTCAGCATCAGTCGCTATTTAAAGACTTAATCACTATAATGGGGGCATTGTCATTAACATCTCTAATTTCTACAATTACTTTAGTGTCTGAAGAAAGACCAAAACCATCCTTACCCTCAATAAGCATCTCATATTTTACGTCCTCCTCAAAATCAATGGGGCCTTTAACTTTAATCTCTCCACTGTTCTCATTCAGATTAAATAATTCTTTTGCAGTTTCGGAAATACGACTAAATTCATATGTCACTTCTCCGTTTTGTCCCTCGTCAGCATCAGTAGCGCTCACTGTTACCACTACAGTATCTAGAGGAGAATTTTCAGGCAGACTGACTTTATAGACGGTCTGACTAAAGACGGGAGCATTATCATTAGCATCCAGCACAGTGACGTGTATGGCTACAGTACCTGATCTCGGTGGAGTCCCGCCGTCTACCGCAGTGAGAATTAATGTTACCTCTTTCTGCTGCTCACGATCCAATTCTTTATTAAGAACTAGCTCTCCATATGTTCTTCCATTTGTACGCGTAAGTACACGAAGAAGAAAGTGTTCATTTTCTTGCAACATGTATGACTGCACTGCATTCATACTAATATCTGCATCATGAGCCTCATCTAATAAGTAACGAGAACCTTTAAGTGCCGATTCCCGTATTTCAAATTTGATAACACTTTGTTTAAACTGTGGTGAATTATCATTTATGTCCTCAATATTGAAAATGACGCGATGCAAACCTAACGGATTTTCTAGCACAAGTTCCTGATTTATTACACATGAAGATTTCTTTTCACAAATCTCTTCTCTGTCGATTCTCTCCGCTACGGTCAGTTCTCCAGTATTTAGATTAATGTCGCAGTATCGTTTTCTGTTACCTTCAATATCAAAGCGAGCCTTCCCAGTGAGCATTCTTTTTGGAGAATTTTCAGGCAGACTGACTTTATAGACGGCCTGACTAAAGACTGGAGCATTATCATTAGCATCCAGCACAGTGACGTGTATGGCTACAGTACCTGATCTCCGTGGAGTCCCGCCGTCTACCGCAGTGAGAATTAATGTCAGTTGTTTTTGTTGCTCACGGTCCAACTCTCTCTCTAACACTAACTCAATATTTTTGCCACCATCCGCCTTTGTACTTACAGATAAAAGAAAATGGTCATTCTTTTCAATGGAATAGCTTTGTACTCCATTCTTTCCTATGTCTGCATCATGAGCCTCATTCACGCGGAACCGAGCGCCTTTCACAGCATTCTCACTTATCTCAAGCTTTATTACATCTTTAGGAAATGCTGGTGTGTTGTCATTAATATCTTGTATTTGTATTGTCACACGATGCATCGCCAATGGGTGTTCTAGAACCAATTCGAAATTGAGAGCACAGACAATTCTTTCATTGCATAGTCCCTCTCTGTCGATTCTCTCCGCTACGATCAGTTCTCCAGTATTCATATTAATGTTACAGTATCGTTTTCTGTTACCTTCAGTATCAATCCGAGCTTTTCGAGATGACAGTCTGTTCACATCGAGCACGAGATCCTTCGCGATATTTCCAATCACAGATCCGCGTTTCATCTCCTCCAGGAAAGAATAGCTCACGTCTCCATAAGCGGTGTGCGCCATCAGCACGAAGAACAAAAGGCCAAACATCTCACTAGTGACGCCGAACCTTTGTAATGCTTCAGATGTTAAGCAGACATTAAATCCAGAAATATAACAATACACGTGTAAAGCAAACATACGCTTAAAACTAAACACAGAAAAATCGAACGAAGTAAGGAATAGGCAGTCAGTCAACGTCGAGGATTCTTTATCACAAAACCAGCTTGAAGTCATGTGAATGACATCACAAGCAGGGTGGAGAGATGTGTACTAAAGACACACATGCTTTTGCAGGTGAACAGCGACACAGCGAGTTGAAATACGAAACTGCATAACATTGATATTTCCTAAAGGATTAAGTGAGAAACAACAAACTGGGGTGTGTGTGTGTGTGTGTGTGTGTGTTTTTGTTGCTCACGGTCCAACTCTTTGTCTAACACTAACTCAATAGTTTTGCCACCATCCGCCTTTGTACTTTCGGATAAAATAAAATGCTCATTCCTTTCAATCGAATAGCTTTGTACTCCATTCTTTCCTATGTCTGCATCATGAGCCTCATTCACGCGGAACCGAGCGCCTTTCACAGCATTCTCACTTATCTCAAGCTTTATTACATCTTTAGGAAATGCTGGTGTGTTGTCATTAATATCTTGTATGTGTATTGTCACACGATGCATCGCCAATGGGTGTTCTAGAACCAATTCGAAATTGAGAGCACAGACAATTCTTTCATTGCATAGTCCCTCTCTGTCGATTCTCTCCGCTACGATCAGTTCTCCAGTATTCATATTAATGTTACAGTATCGTTTTCTGTTACCTTCAGTATCAATCCGAGCTTTTCGAGATGACAGTCTGTTCACATCGAGCACGAGATCCTTCGCGATATTTCCAATCACAGATCCGCGTTTCATCTCCTCCAGGAAAGAATAGCTCACGTCTCCATAAGCGGTGTGCGCCATCAGCACGAAGAACAAAAGGCCAAACATCTCATCAGCAACACTGATGCCTCTAAAATCCATCTCGGGGAGAAAAAAAAAAGACAACGAAAAATACTTGTTATACAATCAACATGTAAACGAAAACATTTGTCTGAACTGTGTTTAGAAAACTAGATGGTAAAAAAAGATTGGAGATACGTCTACGTTTTTGCTACGATGTGAGCTAGAAGCCCTAAACATGACATCAGGAACAGGGTGGAGTATGAAATACAAAATGAAATAAAATGATTTTACTGGTGAACAGCGACACTGCGAGTTAAACTGAGAAACTGCATAACATTCACAACTTTAACGATATACAGTGGAGGAAAACTCTGGATTCTATGATATAGATATAAAAACAACAAAACGGCTATTTATAGTGCTAGGTAATTAAAAAGCAAAACCTCAACTGTCCAGAGACAGGCTTTCTATTAAAAGTCATTCATTTTTCATTTTTGAAGTCTTGTGCTTAAGTGAAAGCTACTAACGTGAGAATTTAAAATCTTAAACGTATTCAATATAACAACATCGAGGACAGGAATACAAAACTTCCACCTATTAAAACTGTTAAATGCGCATACATTTTGCTATAGACTTAAGGTGAGACGAGACAGAGCCTTTAACTGGATTTGGACGCGCAACTTTTCAAGTACCTAAAGTAGTTAGCAATGTACACTCTTAAAAATAAAGGTTCCAAAAGGTTTTTTCAGTGATGCCATAGATTCTATGGCATAGAAGAAACATTTTTGGTTCCCTAGAAAACCTTTCAGTGAACAGTTCCTAAAAGAACCATTTTGAAGTACATTTTCACGAGGTCACACTTTCTTATAATTAAATAAAGGTTATGCGTATTTGGCGTGCTGTCCAGGGAGAGGGCTCCGAGCTCGGCAAGACTCCCGAGCCCGGGGCACCCCCCCCTGTCCGGGGAGAGGGGTCCGAGCTCGATGTCCAGCCCGGCCCAAAAGCGCTCCCCCCGAGTGCTTCTCCCCGTGCTGGGGTAGAAACTATGCTGAAGGTGTGGGGTCGGGGTGGCGGAGGGATGCTGAAAGTCGAGAGAAAACGAAGGTAGGACGTACTTGGTTATTTATAGGAGTTTTCTCTTGTGCTGATTGGATAAATGGTGTAATCACTAATGATGAACTGGCCGTGTTAATTGTGCGTGCTCCTCCCGAAATTTGTTTATAAACATCACTTAAAAATCTAAAGAACCTTTTTTTGACTATCAAGGACCTTTTCTGCATTGGAAAGGTTCTTCATAGAACCATTGATGGCAATAAAGAACCTTTATTTTTTTAAGAGTGTACAGAATGAACATACATACCCAAAATATTCATACATTTCTACAAGACAGCACTGAAAAAACAAGAAAGTATTCTAGGCCGTTTTCTGTACAGAAACAAAAGCAATTAATGCATTTTCTTATAGAAAAACGCACATTTTCAAATTTACACCATTGCACTTAATATGTTAAAAGTAAATAAATAAATACAAATATAATTAACCTTACTGGAACGAATCACTCCTTTTCTCATCAGTCCATCCAGGATCATCCACAACACAGATTACTACATAACTTGGAAGGAGATGTGCGCTGGGAATGGCTGAAACTTCAAACAATTTAATCTCTTTAGAAGAAGCACAAAATCATTTGATTTCATATCACAGCTCATCTGTAAAAGTAAATGTGCATTAAACGCATATAAATGCAGCCTTGATGAGCATAAGAAACTCCTGTAAAAAACATTAACAATCGTTAGGATCTCAAACTTTTGACCGGTAGTGTATAACGTTTTACTACTGAACAGCGGTTAAATGAAAGAAATATCAACATCTTTGACAGGATGAAGAAAATTACTTTCACTTAATGACTTCACAAAACAACCGTAATGCTCAAGAACACAAATAGAGCTGTATTATAATAAAATATAATAATGATTCACTGTGCAGGACCATGGACAGCGACACGCGCCACTCAAATAGAAATGCCATTTTATGATTGAAGTGAAATGAACTGTCTTGGGGATTAATATCTTTAGAAGTTAATTCCATATTAATAACATTGATGAGAATACAAAACTCGACCAAAATATCAATAAGGATACCTTATTCTCTCTCCAACTCCAAGTCAGGTCCTGGGGAAAGTCAGAAACGATTTCCACTCCGAGAGTGAATCGAATAGACAGGGCATATTTGTTGAAGTTATTCTTTTAGGTTTAGTGCTGTCTTAACTCACAGGGCCGGCCGTGTCACCCTATTTTGCATTATGTTGTTAAAATACATAATCTATATTTCACTACTGGCCATATATCCTTGCTGTTCCACTTTTGAATAGAGGAGAAGAGAGCAGATGGAGCAGAGCAGCGGCGCGCAGTGAGTCAGGCTGGAATTGCATGTTAATCTCCTGCACCTCACGTCAAACAGTTCACACACCTGCATGCCAGATGTAGAGAGAGGCTGAGCCTGAACATATATTATTATTATTATTATTATTACTATTATTATTATTATTATTATTATTATGCAGAACAGTTATTATACAACGTGTTCTGAAAAAAATCTGATGAATCTTGGATACTCTGTAAAACAGAAAATGGGGATGAACAGTGTGGATTCAGCTAAATTGTAGAAAACTAAAATATGACTTTAACATGTATAAGTTGATGATAATCATCCAATATATTTTCAAAGAAAATAACATTCTTCACAAAACTCAAAAAGGTCAAAAACGTAGGACGCCATGGAGAACGCGACTTTTGAAATGTAATGTATATTCTTATACATTTTGCGGCACGATGTATGTTATAATACATCGTGTATACACTCACTAAACAAAGAGTGACAGCTTTTTACTGGTTATGAGCACTCTTTGCAAGCTTTCTAGTCTAACCGCTAACCAAAATTTGGGTTAGTCCAAATTCGACCCAAAGTTGGGTTGAAATAACCCAGCATTTTTTAGAGTGTACAAACATGTATTTTAGATTTTTATAGAAATATGACAACAATCACATATCTAAAACAGAGATCACACTGTTACAGTGTTTGGGAATATGCATGCATAATTTAAACACATAATCACATGAAATCAGATAAAAAAAATAAAAAAAATAATTTTAGAAGAGAATGCAGCATCACGTGTGGAGAGCAACTGCGCTCGACTGCACAATCCGATACAGCCGCGAGAGTTTTTTGGCACACGTCAGCATGACATCAGGGCAAGTCGGACGTAACTCGGACACTTTTCTAACCAGCATGCATCTCACCGGTGATCGGTTCTGCGCAGATTTTGCTCATCTCAAACGAGCCTTTTGCTAATCTCAAACGAGCCTAATGAATAATGCTATCACGTGATCAAACACCGACCTCATTCTGATTTGAGGATGTGCAAAATTAAATTACCTTATCTAAACTATATCATTAGTAAAAACACATCTCATATATCAATTCATATTGTCAACTTCTCAGTTTTGTATGATACATTTTATACATTAAAGTTCACAAATACCCGGCCTAATCTCCAATTTAGTTACTTATTTTACTATCCCCCACTTAGTTACTTATTTTAAAACTAAGTTATTAGTAACTTAGTTTTATTTTGCATTGTCATTTGAGTATATGACAGTTGTATGAATTCTCATTATTTTTGTCTTCAAATTTCGCAATTAATAATAAAAGTATAAAACAGACAATACAGGACAGGAGAGCTACTCATTTCCTTATTCTGAATTCATAAACCTCAAACACACAGAGATCGTGAAATGCTTACAGGCGGTGGCGCTGTTTAGTCGCACAGAAATGTAAGCAAACTCAGTATCTCAACGTGTGTGTTTCAGTCTCATACCAGATGCTGAGACGGGGGTTAAAAAGAAAGGAAATATTCATTAGTTTTGAACAAGACTCATAAAGACACAGTACTGAAGGCTGAGCTTATGTCATCAGTTACTAGTGGTTTCCTGAACAGCTTACAGCACCTTTTTTATCGACGACACCCATGTCCATTTTGACAGCCGAAGAGATGTGATTATTTACGTTGAATCTAGTTGTATTAGTAAAGTTGATTTTTACCTTTATGTATTTAGTTGGTATAATTTTATATATAAATGTAAATGGTTTTGTTCATAAAATTGTCATATTTACAAAAATGCTTTAACATTTTTGTTTTGTTTTATCTCATTATTTATTAATACAAAGAAATTAAATGCAACTAGGCCTAATTTCATCTGTCAAATAATGTCATACGTTTTAACATTTAAACACTTTCATTTATGTACCATGGATGCCTGTAGTTTGAATGCTTATTATCTACAGCATCTACCACATCTGTTGGCAAGAATAAAAAGTGTCTTATGATATGAAAGCTGTTACAACATTCAGTTTGAAATCATTTTTTGAAACTATAAAACTGTCATTTGACCTTTTTTCCATTTTAAAGGAGTATGTGACTATATCAAAGTATGTTTTGCTCAGAAATCTGATAAGACAAGATTGTCCTTGTCATTGCATTATAAAACTAAATTATACTAACATTAACTGTAAACTTTTTTTTTTTTCTTTTAATTTAGATTTCATTTTCACATTTCAACAAAATGCAGGTCCATTTGTCTATGTCCTGTCCATGGAAATGTTTTCTCAGTTTTACAGACTTCATACACGGCATGCATATTTAGTGCATCTCATAATCTTCAGTAAACGCCTTTAGTAAGCAATCATCTGAAGTGGGGTTCATGACACTGTAAGCTAGTTGCTGTTAATGAGTTTAGCTTTAATATGAGTAGAAGAATAACGTTCAAAAAAGCTGCAACCAATATGTTTTCCTTTGCACTCTTAAATTTTAAACCAGCTTTCTTACTCTTCAGCTTTACTTCCTAAGGAACCCACAATTGTATATACACAATACACTTGCACAGCCCTCCTGTTCTAACTCATGTTGTGATTGAAAGTGCACATCAAGGTGAATGTTCTAACCTGTACTTTTATTCTGTTCCCCGTGGTGGATGGCAGTTTATGCAAGAGTTTCATCTCTGATTTATGGCAACCGTTAATTTAGCTGTCACTGTGTCTTTGATTCGCAAGTGCGTAGTCTCAGCAGGATATGCATGCTGAGTCATTCAAGCTTAAAAGAGCAGAACAGAAAAAACAAAAACACTCACCTTACCTCACTCCCCGACCGATGACCCCCGATGAACTTTTATAGAAAGGCGTCCCATAGGCTTAGCTGTTACTGTACACAATGTGTGTACTGCTGAAAACAAGCATAAAATCAAGGAAACCTCACTTCAGAAAGCAGATGTGAATCAGTCATTGATGGGCCTGATTACCTTTAATTAAATTAATACCTACAGACGAGTATTAATGTCCACTGAAAATTTACACCTGGAAATAAACAGATTTTAAATGTCCTGGAATTAAGTGTAAAGTGAAAATAAATATTTGAGGTTTCTAGGTGAGTAAAAAAGCAAATACTAAAAAAAATAAATAAATAAAATAAACAAAATTAATATAATTAAATATAATTTAATTGAATTTAAAATAAAAGCATTTTCATTAATTACTGTCATTGGAGGACAAACAGGAACACTTGGCTCAGTAAAGGTGGAACTACCCATGAATATTATGTCCTGAGCTCTATAAATAAACTCTATAAATCAGCAATAGCCTTTGCATACTGTATATAATTGTACTAATAATATACATTTGATTTATAAATGCATGATACTATGATAATAATTTGTAGTTTTATTCCAGAATAATCCATACAATCTACAGATTAGATTTTTTTCTCTGTATATTGACATCTTGTCCTGAATTTCAGTTTAATGTCTATTTTATTTTATTTTATTTTAAGTTTTAGTTTTAGTTTAACATCTATTTATTACTACTGCATTTGTGACCTGCTGTGCTGTAATGCAGTTCTACTGCCTTTGGCCATCACTATCTCATTATAATGTTGTTTGTTTGATTCTCACCACAAACAGCAGAAATTAGAAGATATTTAAAACACAAACTGGTCACGACCATAAATAACTGCTTCTGGGTGTAGTATACAGCTACCATGAGAACAACTCTAGTTTATGAGGTTAAATGGGTGGAGCCTCTAGAATTCTATGAAGTTATGAGACTGTCAGCAATAGTAGCACAATCTGTACCAGTACCTCTCTCTCCTTATTGTCACCTTTATGTCTGTTCAGACACTCAATTCTGAATTGAATTGTTGACATGGAAATTCGTCCCATCATTGTAGTAACCATAGAAACCTCCAAGATCAAATAAAAGAGAGGGTACTGAGAAAGAAATATATAATTTTTCTGTAGGCAAAATTACAAGCTGAACCCTTGAACCTCCCTCATGCACCAACACAGACACACGCTCACTCACTCACTTTCTCTGATGTTAGATTAAAGCGGATTTTGAATATATGAAAGAACAAACATAACTTTGTCACATGTTAAATGGCTGGAAGTAGCATCAAATCAAAGAAAGATAACAAGCAATGCATAAATGGTACACACATTTTTAATATGACCTTCCGTTAACCTCACAGAGGTGCTGGAAACAGTACCATCATTAGCATGAACAGCAGACACTGCTGGAAAGAGCATGATTTCAGAGCAAGATGTCTGCATTAGGAAATCTCTCAGTGAATTCTAATCATGATTACTGTCATCAAAGAGAAACACTGAGGGGCAGATGAGTAGAGAGAAGTGTGGTAAATCTGAGCCTTCACACATACAGTCACACTTATCTAGATTGTTGGCTGAGAAGCTCTGACTGCTTGTCAAAGCTGATATAGATTAAATGTGTGTCTGTGGTGTCTTAACTGCATCACAATATATAGGCTATATATATAGTCATTGTCCTATAGTCTTGTATAGTCATTCTATAATTTAGGATATATTTTACATCAGGAAAAAGTGTAAAAACAATATGCCTTCTCAATAACTGTTGGTTATTGAAAACTGTTGGTTTCAGTTGAAAAATTGTATTGGTGTAACCTATCTGCTAGTTGCCAATATTAATTATTAATAAAATTTTGATACCTAGTGGTGAGTTTGTCAACTATGTTATGGACAAGCTGTGTGGGTTGACAGGTAACAATTTTACCATTTTGACTTAAAATTTCAATATCCATATTCAAAACGTAATAATCACTTTAATGTAGCTTGCGCCAACAGTCCTACACGGAAGCAGCTCCGGGCGGATGACGAATGAGGTCAGCTTTGCGCATGCGCCGCTCAGAAGTGACGCACGCGGAAGCGCAGGGGAGACAAAACAAAACAATGGTCACTTATTAGTACAAAATTAGGATTTGTAAAGAAGAATGTCGGAGGATTTCGATATAAGCCAAGAGGAGACTGGTTTTCCTTTGCTAAAGTAAGGAAACTTAGCTTCCTTTCTTTGCTCCTGTTAACAAACGTTGGTTTTCACAATTCTCACCGGCACATGCGCAACACTGTGGGCTAATTTTCATCTTTGGGTGAACTAACCCTTTAATATAATCTCTACTTTAAAAATTGTTATTCATTATTTTGAATTCTGTAATTTAACGGACAAAGGCAATTTCAAGCAAACCAAGAAAAGGGTCCACAAAATATATGTGTGAGATTATAATATATATTCTCTTGGATAAAATCTATTTCTGAAGAATATTGTCAGAAAAAAATGACCCAAATATCAAGTCAGAGCAAGTAGGGTTTTCTCTTACTCTCTCTTGCTTCTCCAGACTTCCTTGCAGTTGAAGTTCTAGTAGTTCCTTGCAGTTTGGTTCTCCATTGTACACCAAAGCCATTTATTTTTGGCTGCTGACACAAATATCACCAACTAAATGTTTCTGATTAAAGCATATCATCATCATAATTTTAACAATTGGCTCACAGACACAGAAACACTGACAATATGTCACATTCTTAAGAAAGAAAAGTTTATTTCGTGATTTATAAACAAAACACATTACCACTTTTCCATCATAATGACAAAAATAAAGAGAAAAAAGAAAGGAATGAAGGTCACTAATTCACCATCACATACTGATGAGCAGGTGTACAAAAGAAAAGGGTTTTACAACAGATGAGCGTATTCAGTTGGAAAGCACAGCGCCACCTACTGATCACCACCAGACATTACGAAAGAATGACAGCATGAACGCTCACTAGATACAAGCATACACTACACATATTGTATTTTACATCAGGATGTTTTTTCCTGTTTTTCTTTTTTATTTCTTTGTCAAAGAAGTGAAAGAGGAGTGATAGAATCATCATACATAATTTAGCTACAATATACAGTGCTAGTTTGATCGGTATGTCAAAGCCAAACAATTTTTTTTTTGGTCTTTCTTTTTTGTTCTCATAAACAAAAATGAAAAGAATAGGATAAAAACGAGAGCTTCAGGGCATCACACTATAGAGCATTTACAAATACCAAGGTTTAGTAAGGTCATAACTGTCCACTGTTAAGTCGGTGCAGAGGTGTCAGTATAGCAAAAGGCTCAGAGACGGTACATACACAAATCTCTTGTGTGAATAATGAATAAAAACTATAAACAAAAATAGTAAAATCATAGCCATCTATATCTATATTCATATATATATATATCTATATAGTAAGTGTTTTCTTTCTAGTAAGGTCATGCAGCAGTCACGTTTGAGTAATTGTGACATCGGTTTGAGATGTTTTTGGGTGTGTGGCAACAAGGTAGGCAGGCAAGTGAGGGAACCAATAGCATCAGAACACAGACGTGTCACTGCCGCTGTAATCAGACGCTAGAAGGCATGGGGTGGAGACAACAGTCTAATCTTTGTAGTGTATTATTGATGCAAAATGTTTAATTAGCGTAAATGAATAACACTTGATTGTTTTCATAACTGTACAGATGATTTGTGTATTTCTTTGAGGTTTAGATACTTGTGTAAACACTGGATGTGTCTTTGAAAACCTTGCTCTGTTTGTTTAAGCAACCCAATCAGCCTGACACAGCTCAAAACCAATGGCTGGATCTATTAAAGACAGACGGGGCAAAATTATTTTTGGTGCTGCTAATGGCACAGAAATTACACACTTCACCCTCAACATCGGTTCAAACTGGCAAGCCACTATTTTCACCACAAAGTTCTTCTCTACTAATCTCCACCCCTTGCCTAAGCTGCACATCTATCTTCTCCCATTCCTCCTCTGTCTGAGAAAGAACCGATGAGAGACCAGCAGGAAATACAATGTCTTATACAGAGACAGAGCTAAGGTTGATTGGACAGCGCTGGATCATTAACATATGACAGTGCTGTCGGAGGGGCTTCTGTCCTCTGCAGGGCGGGGGGGATTTGACAGGCGTCATCTGCATTTCTCCATACTACATGAGTACACCACAATGTCTAGAGCTAGCCTACCCAGCAGAGAGATCAAGAAAGAGACAGACAGAAACTCTGTACAGTAACAATAAAATTCACTTAAAGCTTATAAAAACATCGCACAAAAAAAACCCTGCCCTTCGAATTTGAAAAGCCCCAGCTAATATGTTGTGTTCTTTGCTCTTGGGGTGTGTTGGCCCTCCAAACAGCAAGCAGAAGGGAGGCGACTAGGTTCTGTGTATGACATACTGAGCTGAGAAAGCAGGCACACAATTAGGGTCGGAATGACAGGGTCAAGGACAGTAGGGAAACTACAGGTATGAGGCAATGTCACAGAAAAAATCATGGCATAACCCCCATGCCTTTTCTACAGAGGGTATTTAAGGATAGTTTATGGGATCAAAGGTGTTTAAGGTTAGGTGAATCAACAGTAATACTGTTCATAATGCATAAACATTCTCTCAGCCATCCCTATAACAACAGAGCACATAACCAGGCTCCTGAAGAGCTGATTTTCATTAACTTTACATGATATTGACTTGTGAGCGTACCTCTCCAACTGTTGGTTAACCAAAAGGCCAACCAGGTTAGAAACATTTCAGACCTGGAGAGGTTTTGGGAGTCGCTATAGAGATTCACTGATTGTTGACCCTGTTTACTAGATGTGTGTGTCTAATATATATGTGCACATGTGTATATATGGGACTACTTGCTCACATATATACTATGCCTTGGAGAACATTTGCTGGTAACAAAATTAAAGCAACAAAATAAAAGTGCATTCCATCATTCGGTGTACTTTGTTTTTGTCTTTTTTTGATAAAACACTGTTTTTTCCCTTTTGTCCAGGATGTGAGATTTTTTATAAGTGAAAATGTTTCAAAGTCTCTTGTTTTAAAGGATGATTCTGCAATCCCACACCAGGAGAAGTGAATGAGCAAAAGCGTTAATTTAGCGTCTTCACTGCTTTACATACAGCGGTGCCCAACCTGCGTATTTACACCAGTGTGTGTCCTGCTTCCATAATGTCTAACTTTACTCAATTTTGAATCCCTCTTATTTTTTTTTCTCTTTTTTACCACGAAAGCACATGTGAAGCAGCACACAGCTAACAAACAAATCAGATTTTGTCTCCCTATCAAAAAGATTGGAAAACAAAAACCAAGAGGATGAATAAGACAGACGTACCAACATGAGTCTGAAGGACATTTTAGGCGGAATAGTGGCTGAGGCATGAGAGAATATTAATCAATCATATAACAATTCATCAAGGTGAGATTAATCAATTACTTCATTAAAAGGAAGGGGAAGCTATCTGCTTAAAGCCAAAAGATCGGCTGTGACAGAAAATCACCCCAAATTTATCAGTTAGATCCAACAGAAAATGTTTGCTTGAGCCCCAAATATGGATTTTAGAATTAATAAAAACACATTTTGTTCTACAGACTTTTGTTGAGACTTCTGTCTTAAAAAATCAGCTCTTTCTTTAACTCCTTCCTCTGTCTCTCTAATCATCATCATCATCTTTCCCTTTCTCCCGCTTATCCTTCTTCTCCTTCTTCTTTTTCTTCTTCTTCTTGGCCTCCTCCTTTTTTCCAAAGGTAATAAAGTCGCTCTTGTCATCTCCGTCTTGTCCTTGTCTGATGGAAATAATGGCCGGAGAACCGGGGATGATGAAGGCTTCAGGAGGAACTTCACCGGGTTTCAGATGTGGAGGGCCTCCCGGACCCGGCCCATATCGAAAATGCCAACTGTTGCTGTCCACTCCAGCACCTACAGGGGGAGAGACCTCTCCACCTTCATTATCTACGACAGAAAAAGAGACCATCTATTACAATCTAAAATGATATCCCATGACGATTAGGAAAAAAAGAAATAAGGAAAAGCATTATTTAACAGTCAATGTGGGTAATAAAAACATTAAGAGGGACCTCTCCATGTTTCAGGTATGATAAAGGTCCTCTGGACCCTGAAATAAGCATGGCGGAAGACACTTGTCCCTCTATAAACATAAATTATTTCTGTCTTCTCTGTGCTGCAGTAAAGAGCTCCAGAGAGCACACAGTGAATCAGCAATGTTTAGCCTGGGAGAAGGAAAACGCTTTGCATTTTGATTTTGTATTACAAACTGTGATGCATTGCACTCAAAATTGGCCACATTTACTTTAAAAATGTTTCACGCCCAACCCTCTCCTCCAGCCTTCTTTCATATAGAGACAAAATTCACCATTCATTCCCACCACACATTTTTATCTTGTTAAATCTCACTCATAAAAACAGTAGAAAAGAATGTAATGCAGTGTAATGTACTCGTCTTTAAATGTAAATTACTGTGGTAGTTGATCTGATCTATGTTTGACATCCCCTGTGCACTGCTGAAAATCTCTCTCTCTGTCTGATGAGCAAGTTATTTCATTTATAATGACACTGGATCACCACAACATCACTTAATTTAATACAGACAACACCTTTGGCATCATATCTGTGTGCAGGTCTTTGTTTGCACTTTGCCTTTTGTCTATAGCTTATGTTGCGGTGAAGATTAAGATGGATTACAACCTCGGAACCATTCTGACTACGATATCTGTGAGTGAAAGAAGGTCTGTATTCAGGATTGTGGGTGTGAAATAAGAACGAAAAACAGGCAGCATCCATTATGAGTCCTTAGGGAACTGACAACCCTTCCAAATCCCTCAGCAACACAACAACTAAACGCCCAAATGCTTTGTTTTCTCTCTTCTCCCTCTCACACATACTCTTTCATCACATCTAATCTTCCTCTCTCCATGCCCTCCCATTTTGTTTCTCTCTTTCTTTAGTTATCTTTCTGACCTTATAAGGCATAAAATCCACTAGTGCTAGGGTGTAACTAACTAAATAGCAATGCTATTGAGTTAATTTACATTGGTTTCAAAACTGTCAAATTAACATGTTCAAAAACTAGGCAGGTCTTTATTTATTTTTAAGACTACAGTTGAGGGCAAAAGTTCACATCCCTCTTTCAGAATCTGCAAAATGCCCTTCAGACTAGGCTACAGAAGATAGTTACATGTTTCCCAGAAGACAAAATAAGTTAAATTTACCCTGATCTTCAAATTCAAAAAGTTTTCCCCCCCCCCCCCGGCTCTTAATGCATGGTTTTCCTTCTGGAGCATCAGTGAGCATTTGAACTTTCTGTAATAGTTGCATATGAGTCCCCTCAGTTGTCCTCAGTGTGAAAAGATGGATCTCAAAATCATACAGTCATTGTTGGAAAGGATTCAAATACACAAAAAAATGCTGCAAAACCAAAGAATTTGTGGGACCTGATGGATTTTTCTGAAGAACAGCAGGCAGTTTAACTGTTCAGGACAAACAAGGGACTCATGAACAAGTATCACTAAACAAAAAAACACAGCTGTGGATCATTCAGGTAACAACACAGTATTAAGAATCAAGGGAATGTAAACTTTTGAACGGGGTCATTTTTATAAATTCAACTTATTGTTTCTCTTGTGGACTATATGTAAACATCTTTTATGTGAAATATCTTATTCAGGTCAGTACGCTGACTCCACTGTGATGTGACCCTCTCTCTCTCTCTCTCGCTCTTGCGCTCTCTCTCTCTCTCTCTCTCTCATGTAAACAATAACATGCATTTTGTATGATCCCTCTTATTTTGGTAAAATAATTCAAATTAATTAACATTTTGGAAGGGGGATGTAAACTTTTGACCTCAACTGTATATAGATTATTTATTCGTTATTTCTACAGATTGCTTTAACTGTTTTAAACTGGGAGTAGCTAGTATCTTTGCAAAATACAGTTTAAAGGGGTCATATGATGCTTTTTTAAAGATCATTATTTTGTGTATTTGGTGTAACAGAATATGTTGACATGCTTTAATGTTCAAAAAACACATTATTTTTCAAATACTGTACATTATTGTAGGTCCTCTATGCCCCGCCTCTCTCAAACGCTTCGTTTTCTACAAAGTCCCTCCTTCCGACAAGCGCAGTCTGCTCTGATTGGCCAGCTGACCCAGTGCATTTTGATTGGCCGAACACCGCAAGCACTCGTCGGAAATGTAACGCCCCTTACCATAATCGCGAGCTTCATCTTTCAAAATAAATGTAAAGACAGTAAATAATGTCATTAGTTTTACCATCAGTTCAAGCCCAAAAGGGGAACAGTCGCGTGACAGTCACAGTGATGAAGCTAATATGTGTTTGCAGTACACAAGCCACGGTTAAGACAGCTGACTCCACTGTGATGTGACCCTGTCTCTCCTCTCTCTCTCTCTCTCTCTCGCGCACACACACACACACACACACAATGCGCAAAACACCGCATTTGAACAGTCAATAGCAAATACTAAAACTAATAACAAAACAGTAGCTGATTCAGAAGCGCCAGATTGTCATAGCAAAGTCAGAATTACCTCCTCTCCTAGGTTCACGAAACGGTCGTCCATAAAATGCATTGCTGTTCTGTTGTAAGTAATCTTAAAGATTCCTAAATGCATCTACTTTCGGAAGGCCAAATAAAGTGCTTTTGCTTTCGCCTAGAAACACACAGCATCTCCCTGACATGCTGCTTCAACACTAACTGCGGTTACTGAAACCACGCCTTCTTTCTTTGCGTGAACATTTGGGCGGCATTACGCAAATATTTCCACATAGTGACGTAGATATGTGAGGGCGTGTTAGAACGAGCCGTTTTAGGGGGGCGTGGCAGAGTCTTAACTTTGATAAAGAATATCTCTTTGGTTTTGAGACTTTAGTCTTTGCAACTTCAGGGATCTTATCTATGCACAATCAGCTTGTAACACTCCAAAGGGAAAGGAAAACTTGAAATCGCATCATATGACCCCTTTAAGAGTAATTTCCCAATACATTTACACTGACTACCACATCCTCTGCATATCTCCATCTTGCCTTGATCTTTCGTGTAATGCAGTCTTTGGACAGCCACACACGTCTGGCTAGCAGATAATGGCGCCGGTTTAATAAGATGCATGACAAGGCCATGATTATTATGGCCAGTGAAAGATCCAGCTCATAAAAAGATGATGGGGAGAGAATCGAATCATCTCATCATTAAGAAAACAACATGAGTCTGCTGACCCCCTCCCATCTACTCTCTATATATCCCTGTATCGCTCTCCTTTCTCAAGGAGGAGTGGAGTGCCGTCTTACATAATGCAGAAGAGGAGGTGAGGAAGGTCAGTCTGAGAATGAAATATGAGCCAAACTTCAACGCTAAACTCCTGAAGGAGCAGATTTCTAAGCAACACTGCAGAGCCAAGGAATTATGGGTTTGTTTAGATGAGACCACACCGCTTTTGAAGCAGTATGTGTATGTGTGTGCATGTGTAACAGCAGATGACAGCAGATTTGTGTTCATGCTTTTGCTGCACGAAGCACAGAAAATTGGCTGATTTAACATATAACAGCCAGTCTGAAGATTACAAAATTTTAATCTATAATATGAAATACATTTAGATTATAATACATGTTTGGTAGCTCTGTCTATTTATGAATCACAGTTCACAATTTGTTATTTATGGTCTGTGTATGTAAATTGCATGTTTTCACATTAAGTATTTACCAGAAAATGTAATTAACTTTCATTAGCTGTGTGTGTGAATAATAAAGCATGTGTGTGGGCATACAATATTAATTAGATATGTGCATGTGGTACTGATTGTCTGTGCAGAATGAATATAATCACACTGTAGTTTGTGTCTGTGTGTGTGGCACACCTTGGTACGTCAGGCTCTAGTAATCCTGATAAAATATGTGCCAGATGGCACCACAAGGCTCATGGCTTTCTCATGAGCCTGCCAAGACAGCAGTGCATGTGTGTGTTAAGGACAGTTCTGCTCTCTGTAATAACTGCATGTTTTGAGAATAATGCTGTATTTTTCAATAACCCTGTTTTCCATAAAGGCAGGGAAGAATACAAATACATGAATGCACAATTAATGCATAAATAAAAGCATTAATAATAATAATAAATGAATGAATGAATGAATTAATTAATCTCAACCTCATATTTCAAAGCCTAAAAAAACAAAAACAAACAAACAAACAACAACAAAGATATGGAGACAAACACCAACACAGAAAGAAAGAGAGGGATTGTCCTCGGTTTACCCTTTTGAGCTGACTAAAGCCCCTGGCATGTTCTGGAAAATTCCACTAGACCTACAACACAAAAACACTCTAGCACAGCCTTTCCTCTGTGTCACTGATTGACTAAAGTGAGTGATAAAACCAAAATCATAAAATTACTACAAAATCACTGGAAATCAGTGAGACCTGTTGACATTTTTTTATTTGAATAATGTGTCAGCTATATTTGTTTTTGTCTCTTGATACCTCTGACTGTTGTTTTTATTTATACTCCTTTTGTATTGAATTTTTAACATTTTGAACTAGCTTTTTGACAATAAAATACAGGCATGTTGCATTGTAGGTACAGTAAGAGCATTTGTGTCAGATTGTGAGTACGAATGTGCGTTGCATTGTGGGCAAGTGTTTCTGTGCGCCATATGGCATTGTAGCTGAAACGAGAGCCTGTGGGCTGTGCAGGTTGGCCCACCTGTAGAGATGATCTTTAAACAGACAGATCAGGATGGGTCACACTCATCCACCCATCCATTTATCTCTCCATTCATCCATCTTTACCCAACCTGCTATAACTGAACAATTACATTCACAGTAGAAAATTATTTTTCTCTCAATTCATATAGCTTTCCTGAGATGACAAAAGTAAGAAAAACTCTCATATTTCTCATTCATCTGTCCCCATTTCACCTGTCCTCATCACTCTAAACTTCCTTCTTCCTCTTACATACACAGCTTTATCTATTTGTTTTATTTTATATGATGCTCTGTTAACTCTCTTGTTCAGCCACACCTCTCCTCTCTTTCTCTCTCCATTTTGCATTTCTCCTTCACTTGTTTCTCTCTCACCCTCCATCTACTCTTCCAGCACCCTGTTCATGGAATGAATGGTTGCCGTGGAAACTGCCTCCTCCAGTGAAATCTGGTTGTGGCAGAGACACTGATGGAAACTAATACAGAATGCTCTCTTTCCAATGGCCAGATACTTCTCTCCCTTAGCAACAGAAGCAGTCACAGCCCCCTCCTCTCTGCATCTCTGTTTTCTCTTTCACTCTCCCCCTCGGTCACATTTTTTCCCTCATTGTCACTCTCTCAATCCCTTTTTCCCTTAGGCTGTCTACCTGCCCTCTGCCTCTGTCACACTGTTTCACTCTAACATTTTACCGCATTTCAGAAGAAAAAAAAAAAACAGAAAATGTGACAGACACAAAAACAAAAAGAGAGTTAGACAGAAATTGAGACAGACAGCATGCTTTATCCTATTTTCATTACTTTAATTCTGTAGATCTACGCTTTGGTAGTTTTGCCCATCTGTTTCACACACAACAAAGAGACAGAGAGAGAGAGACAGGGGCGTTGGTTTCTCCAGTGTTTTGCACGCCAGAGCTCAAAACGAAGCTCATAAAAATGCAGAAGATAAAACAACCCAGCACTACTTTACACCTCCACAGACCTACTGAGCATTCACATTATCACCTAAATTGCCGATTCTCTTGATGCTGACAACAAAACTGACGGTGTTGTCTGATTCATGTATGTAGTTTTTCTCATCTTATACTGTTTTAAAGGGTTGGTTCAGCCAAAAATCAACATGCCATAATTTACTGATCAAGCTCTCTGTCCGTCTGTCAAGCTCCAAATCTCAGCAAATACAATACAAATGGCCCATATGATTCATACGCTATACAATGTAAATTCTATGATCAATAAATCATAGCTTGGTTTTCATGACTTTGACTTATCAAATTAACAAACAATTTTTAAATAATTTTTAAGTTATATGAGATTCAGCTCATTTTTTTAAAACCACTTTAATATAATTTAAGTTAAAATGAATCATGTACATTCTACAACTGACTGAGATGTATTTCATGCCCTTTGCAGTATCCTGCAAATTTTTTTTATTATTTTATTTTTTTACGAAGAGGCATTTTATCATATTTGATTCTAAACATCTATAGTTTTTATGTTTCACATGACTGACAAACATTCTTGAACAGGCTTGAACCTAAGGAATGCAAAACTACAGCAGTGAGAAAAGTTTCAGTGAACAACCTCAGTGAACAAAAGTTTTAGTCAGTTTTACTACACAAAAATATCATATAGTTTCAGAAGATATAATATGTGACCAAGGTCCACAAAACCAGTCACAAGGGTCAATTTTTCGAAACTGAGATTTATACATCATCTGAAAGCTGAATAAATAAGCTTTCCATCGATGTATGGTTTGTTATGATAGGGCAATATTTTGGCTGAGAGACAACTATTTGAAAATCGGGAATCTGAGACTGCAAAAAAATCAAAATATTGAGAAAATCGCCTTTAAAGTTGTCCAAATGAAGTTCTTAGAAATGCATATTACTAATCAAAAATTAAGTTTTAATATATTTATGGTAGGACATTTACAAAATATCTTCATGGAACATGATCTTTACTTAATATTCTAATGATTTTTGACATAAAAGAAAAATCGATAATTTTGACCCATACAATGTATTTGTGGCTATTGCTACAAATATACCTGTGCTACTTATGACTGGATTTGTTGTCCAGGGTCACATATAGGGAAATAATAGTATGGAATACACTTATAATTTATTTAAGGAGCTTAATATAATTAAAGGTTTGCTAATTTTCTTCTTTGTGTTATATGGAAGAAAGATAGTTTGGAACAAAGAGATAGAGTATATACATTAAATAATATATAATTTTCCATTTTTGGCTGAAATAATGTGTTAAAAAGCTAAGCAGCATCTCAGACTTGGCATCTTGTGAAAGATTTGTAAACGAGACAGATAAACAGTGAACAGGAGAAAGAAAAAAGAACGAGAAAGAGATTGAGTGAGAGCGAGAGAGAGAGAGCTAAAAAATCTAAAGAGGCTTATTTCATTCATTTCCAGTCTTTGCTTTTGCAGTCATCATCAGAGACTTAATTAGAACAAATTGCTCTTTCATCACCCGAGTAATTGCGCCCGTTTTGTCCTCTCTCCCTGCTTCTCTCCCTTTCATCTTATTGAAACTAAATTACTTTCATTATTTCAAACACCTCCAGAAGTAACATCATCATTCTATCCAAGAGGGTCGAGCCTCAACCTAGACATCCGTGAGCCTCACGCGGAGTTAATTAGGAAATTAAATATTCATTAATTGGATCCGGGTTCCTACCTATGACCTTGTGACCCAGGAAATGATCCAAGACAAAATGGTAGAGAGGTTTATTGCTGCCTTCATGTCGTGTACATCATACCCCCACCACAAGAGCAAGTCTGTTTTGAAGTAATTCTAAAATGCATCACATTTGTGTAAACGGATGTTTATTTCCTCAACATAATGTTCTACAATACACCACATCAATATTATATGGCTACAAACACAAGCCTACAGCATGATGCAATTTGTTATTCTAAGCATGTTGTTGTTGATTCTGACTTAAAACGTATTTTATCTTAATATGTTTTGCCCTGATGGTTGTGGTGATCCATTTATGGGCACTTTAGAGTATGTGCAGACATCTCTGATTAATAACCAAGACTCTGTCTTCTACAGAAAGACAGGTGATTCTTCAATTATTTGGAGTGCGAGAAAGAGACTAGATGGGCAAAATAGGAATGGAATCTAATATTGTGGATTAATTACCATGAGCGGACATCTCCACAGCGAGTGAAAAAGAATGTGTGCGTGTTTGTGTTGAAATACTCTGAGCTGACCATTATTAATATTCATCTCCTAATCGAGTCATCTCTCTGTGCATTCGCCACGCTCTCTCGGTCGCCGCTTTGTACTGAGCTTCTCTTTCTTGCTTTTGCAGATAACCTCCGCATCCCCTGACTGTGTCATTTCCTCTTTCAGCTGATAAACTGGATTTATGCTTGATCTGGTCAGAGCTGTGGAAATCTGTGTCACACTCTTCTTCATCACGTAGCTGTGATAGGCCACCTGAGCGAGCTAAACGCATATAATCCAACATTAAAACCAGGGGATTCCACTGTGATCAGACTGTGGGAAAATGTACAATATGCACAATAGCAGTTTTAAAGGGATAGTTCACACCAACATTTTGCATCTTTTACTCACCATCGTGTTGTTTCAGCTTTGTTTTAATATCATTATACCATGAAACACAAAATGAGACATGAAGCATAAAATCTAAATAAAAATGTAAACTGTTGTTTAAAATTTAAACAGACTTACAATCTCTTATTTACTACACAATTAAAGAGGAGAGTGATTCACTACCAAGCTCCAAAAACAGAAAAAGTGCAACAACAGTAGTTTATCTACTATATCAGGGGTGCCCATCCCTGTTCCTGGAGATCTACCTTCCTGCAGAGTTTAGCTCCAACCCTGATCAAACACACCTGAACCAACTAATTAGGATCTGAAGGAGCACTTGATAATTACAGACAGGTGTGTTTGATAAGGGTTGGAACGGAACTCTGCAGGAAGGTAGATCTCCAGGACCAGGGTTGGGCACTCCTGTACTATATATTACCAAAGACCGCCAATTTATTCCTATAAATCTCCAAAATAATGTTATTATTTACAGATCATTTTCCCCTCCAGTCCAACATGAGGTTGAGCAAATGATGACGATAAATCTTAATTTTTGGTACATTAACACAATTTTTGAGTGGGCTGCTTCCATTATGAATTCATATTTACGGTTACTACTCAACATAGCACAAAAAGGCAGATTGTGGAATCACTAATGTATTGCAGTGGTTTCTGAGTTGCTCCCTGAACTACTCAGCTAGGTTTCCTAAAGAAGCCTCATGTAGGTCATATTCCTTATATCCTGCATGACTGCAGCAGCTCGGCTCAGCAAAAGAGGCCAACGCAGAGGAGACTGCAGGGAAAGAAGCATGCAAGTGAAAGAATGATGTGAGACAGAAAAGAAGAGAGTGATAGTCTAGATCGGGACAGGGGTAGATGATAGATGGTCCTGAGGGGTAATATCAGTGAAACTGTGAAAGGCAGTGTTACAGTCCTGCCAGGACACCCAGAGGAAAATTGTATTGCTCAGTGGTTCTCTAGATCTGAAGACTTAATATGGGTTTTCAGTTTTTTCATTTAAGTATCAACATGGACTACAATCTTAATAATAAAGGTGCTTAAAAGGTTCTTCACAGCGATACCATAGAAGAACGATTTTTGGTTCCACAAAGAACCATTCAGTCAAAGGTTCTTTAAAGAACCATCTCTTTCTTACCTTTTTATAATCTGAAGAACCTTCTTTCACAACAAAGAACCTTTTGTGAAACAGAAAGGTTCTTCAGATGTTAAAGGTTCTTTATGGAACCATTTAGACAAAAAGGTTCTTCTATGGCATCATGAAGCACCTTTATTTTTTAAGAGTGTAAGATGTTTCTCACAAAAAAATAGAGTTGAGTAAAGTTGAGTATAGAGCTATAAAGTCAATGTGGATAGCAGCTCAGATCATCAGGAATTTCAATTTAGTTCAATCTCTTCTCAAGGCAAAACTCAAGAAGAGGAAACAGAGAAGCATTTGAGAAGTGAACAACTCTATTTGATATCAATCTGATTAGAGAAACAACTAAGAAATGAAAGATCTAATTTTAAAATGTTTAATTTCTTCAAGAGTGTGTCTGCCATAGAGAGTTTAGATTCTATATCTTACCAGGAGCACTGGAGACGGTGGGCCAGTTCTGAACCAGAACTCCTTGAGCACCCTGCATCACGGATGACTCCTCCATATGGACCGAACTGTACACAAACAAAGGAGAAAGTTTTTTCAAATGAAATCTATTATTTCACCTTTAAAAAAAAAAAAAAAAAAAATCTTGTTTTGATTTAAATACAACATTGAAAAGCTGTGAGCTTTGTTAAATTAATACTAATAAAAGGTTTCAAGATTAGTACTACTACTACTATGAAGGATCATTATTTAAAATTCTGCTCTATTTATGGGTTTCCTATATCAAAAACTAAGATATTCTTTACAGCAATGCACATTTTTTTCATACTCAAATTGTCTCAGATCCCACTCTATGAGAAAAGATTTGTCTGTAGATAATGTCCTAGATTATAAAGGACAATGTGTGGCATGAAAATAGGGTTTATTTTTGACCTAGGCTGAATGATTGAGCGTGGGCATATGCAGGTCTTCTGTGAGAATTGGAATCTAGAAGCTTGGATTAGAGATTAAGGATTAGGTCATGCTCCTCTCTGCAGTCACACTACCTCTGAGATTAAATTTTACACTCCTGGGCAAATTTCACACCAAAGACATTATTTCTCTCACACACACACACACACACACACACACACACGTAATTTGTGCAGTTGATCATCCTGCTTCAATCATTCATATTACGGAAGTAAAATGTGTTGCAAACTCCATTTTATGTTGACTCTATATACACCCACATTTGTGTCTGCATCAGGAAAAAGCCTTAAAATCACCAGTGGCAGAAAATCAAACCAAGCAGGAGAATTCTGTTACTCTTAGAAAAGGGTGTTATCACTTGAAATGTGAATTTTAAAATACAAGAATTAATATGGTGTGACATTTCTAATATTTGCAATCAACCAGTAATCAGGTAAAACCCATCCAAAATTATCCAAAGACAGAAAGCATGCAGAACAGAGGGGGCTGGGTGGAAAACCACCATTTAGTTGCCCCCTCTCTCTCCTTCTCTGATGAATGTTTGCAGTCCAAGGTCAGGCGGTTACTGCTGCTATTACATGCTGTGTGTGTGTGTGTGTGTGTGTGTGTGGAAGCCATTTCAAAGAGCTGTGAAGCAGCAGTCAGTAAGGCTAATACATTATTAATGAGAAACACTGGACCAAATACATGATCCTCAGCTAATGTTCAAACATTCTCCTTCTCGCTTTCTCTCTGTCTGCCTCTCCTTCCCCTGCTCATTTCTGCCTGCGTATCAATGTCATTGCTTTCTCCACTGATCATGTCGCTGTTTAACATGCAAAAAGCTATTTTTGCATAAACCTGTTTGACTCTGGTGTAAATAAATAAATTTAGGAGAGTAATGATAAGATAAAGGTAATGTTTGCCCTTGCAAATCTCACTCTAATTGTCTTTAACACATTGCTATGAGGTTGCTAGGGTGTTGCGATTTAAATAATTCTGATCTCTGGATATGGTTTGGAACCCTATGAATCTTAAAAAACGTTCTTATCACTTATTAAAGTAACAGCAGCAAGTCATGTCACAAACTATTTTGCATGTCAAAAAAATAATACTTGGGATTTAGGGTTTGTTTAAATTCTAAACTCTAAAAATGAGCAATAGTAAATATTATTAATAAGAAGCCACTGGCTTTACAAAGAAACTACCAATGAAAGCCTTACAGATTTGCCTTAAGACAGAGAAAGCAAGAGCATCATAAAACTGAAATTAATTTTGCAGCGGTTTCTTCAAGTACATAAATTGTGAGACAGGAATCTGATTTAATGCATGAGAATGATTTGCGTGGCTACATTAGCTCTCATTAAACCTTGCTGTAATTAGGAGGGAATCAGTGTACCACTAATGAAGATCGGAGGTCATTCAGTCACACACACAGCCCTGGCATATGTGAACTTGCTGCCCAGTCTGTTGTCTGCAATGTCCTTCGTTGCCATCGTTTTGCCAACATGGCCGCAGGCAATACTTCAATCGCCGCATGTGACCTACTTCTGCTTCCACGGAAATTGTCGCTGTACAGCTGTACTGGTCATTCAGTGGCTGCTACATCTATATCAGACCATTGGTTGATTCACAATGAGTGGTGGATAATATCCTTATAGTATGCAGCACGGTCCAGTGGTTTATAGGTAATGTAATGTCTGTGCACATGAGTTTCCAAGATCACATCAACATCAGTTGTTTTCATAGGTAACTATAAAACAACTGAAATGTATGGAAACATTTTACCGTCCATAAAATTTCTGTAATTCACTGTCTTGTAATATGTCTTTCTTGCCTTCCATTCACCAGATTCATCCATTTAAAGAAGTCATTATTATACATTTTAAGTAGTAGTTTTCCTGTGGTTGACATATAATCTTTATTATTACATATTTTGTGTCAAAACAGAACGAATGTAGTTTGTGATAATTCCTCCTCAACTTTGGTACAATGAACACAGAAAGCAAATTTACTTACTGTTTTAGTGCTGTCAAACGATTAATCGCGATTTATCACATCCAAAAGAAACGTTTTTGTTTACATAAAATATGTGTGTACTGTGTATATTTATTATGTATATATAAATACAAACACATGCATGTATATATTTAAGAAAAAAATATGTTATGGTTATATATTAAAAATATAAATTTAATAATATAAATATAAATATTTACATGTATATGTAAATATTTTCAAAATATATACTGTATGTGCGTGTATTTATATATACATTATAAGTATACACAGTACATACACATATTATGTAAACAAGAACTTTTATTTTGGATGCGATTAGTTGTGATTAATCGTTTGACAGCACTATACTATTTATTTATTTATCCTTTTAAAGTAATAGTGTATATTCAGCAGATGACAACAAAAAGACAACAAAACCAATGCAGTCTTACCTTTGCATGCCTGCTCTGAGGGATGCTGAATATCTCCAGTCTGTATTGGGAGCTTTAGGCTGAGAAAGACAAAGACAGAAAAAGAGAGAAAGAGATGACATTAAGCACTGGGGTGGATCAAATAACCAATATCATCTCATTAATTAATCATGCTTGAGTGTAGTCATATGGTCATGATGGCTGCAGGACTCTGGCTTTTGAGGAAAGGGTTAGAGTTGGGGCAAGATTTCATCCATGTCTTAAACATACACATTGTTACCCTCACACAGACACACAAACATTAATGCCAATTTGAGATGCTCATCATCCAAAACAAGATTTCAACCAACCATTCAAACAAATGAGATGAATCAGGGTAATAAAACCCTAAAGGAGCAGTAACAGAAGGGTGAGATCAGTTTGAATGAGTCTCCTCAGGGAGAAGGAAACTGATGCATATTGGCAGTTAAAATGTACAAGGTGAGTGAATGTCATGAAACCTTTCAAGAACATGTCTAGGTCACATTTCATTCCAAAATCAAAAGAACAAAAACAAGACACTGCATCTTGCTTAAAGGAAATTAAGCTTATTTTAGTACCATAAAGACTTATGGCATTGCAACATTATTGTCAGCAATGAGAATATGGAAGAAATGCTTGCTTGTCATTAAATGTCCCAATGCAAAGAGAAAAAAAAAACTAAGGATCCTAAAACAGAAATTCTTGAGTCACTCTCCATAAGTGCATAAATGAAAATGTAAAATAGATTTTCTTTATGCAAAATTGGAATATAAAATACTAAAATATTTTTCCCATCTAATTTTAGGGTGAATCTTTATGTTTACCTAGGTGTGGTATGATACGCCCTTTGCCCCTTTACAATCAATGTAAAATCTCCTTGTATTTAAAAGGCACAGTAGGACATTTCAGCTTGTATTTTGCTGCCCAGATTTTCAGTACTATCAACTTTTATATACAAAAAAAGGCAGGCATAGCATCTGTGCTCCCTACCGGTCCTTTTGTCACCCATTTTCCCTCTCACAAACATCTCCTGGAGGACATTTATCAATGTGAAATCCAATTCAAAATGTAATCAGCAGGGCCTGCTTTTCCTCCACACAACACACAAACATCCATCATACAACCCTGCAAGACAACTACTATACACACCAGCTAGTAGTCATGCACAAAAACATCACATACTAACACTGATGTTCAACCTATCATGAACCTTTCATAGATGGTATACAAACTGTCAAATAAAGCATTTTATAAAGAAAGGCTGAATATCAATCAGTTTCAAATAAATGCACCAGGTCTGTAATGACCACATTTCAATGGCCAAACCTTTAATATCAAAGGGGAAAACATGTAAAAAAATAAATAAATAAATAAATTTAAACGCAAAAATGCAACAACAAAATAACAAACCCAGAGGGTTTAAAATGTTTTTAACCATCTGATACACTAACTGTTTTACAGTAAATAAGCATATGCAGGAGGAAGACTTTTGAAAGATTATTGTCTTAAACCCTTTTAAGAAATTAAAGACATTCAGATAAAGTGAATATGGGTAACAGAGAAGGTTACTGAGCAAAGAAACTGGTGATCTGTTTTTATTCACCTCACAGGTCTTTGATTTATCACTGTGTGTGTGTGTGTAGCAGATAATGAGCTCAGTCTGATCTCGTCTCACTAGCAGTTCCTTACTCTTCTTTTCCTTATTTTCTCTCTCTTTCAGTTCCCTTCTGAGTGGACACACCTCGCCTAGATACAGCATTTGCACCTCTGCACCAACCAATCAAAATCCTTCCGTCCTTTTCTTTCCAAACCGAACCAGCCAATAAGCCACCAGAAACGCGGAGCTCAGTTCCACTGCCACTTAATCACACACAGGGAGAACAAACATGACTGACATTTAATGAGAACAGCTGAAATGAGCCAGTAATTACTTCACAAATAAGAGGCGCTCACACAGAGAAACTGTTTTCACATCCAGTAATCCTTGAAACACTCACAACCCAATCAACAACACAACATAAATGCGATTATGAACGTGGTTTTGCGCAGCTTCTCATTGAACTAAGGCTCTGTGTAGTAAATGCTGCTCCATCTGAAAGCACGCAATTTACAGCTGATTACAGAACCGGCTTTACTGACAAGATGTGCATGAATATCGCATGCGATTTATCGTGCAGCCCTAATTTACAGTGGAAGCTATGGTCAATCTAACAGGGTTTACCAACACAGAAAGAGAGTGGTTCCTTTCATAAAATAAAACAAAACATAAAATCTTTCATTTCTAACCACCATTATTCTGGACAGTGATTATTATTGGATTCTCTCAAATTTCCAGAGATTTACCCATCTAATAGCAAGTCTGTATGTGTACAATGTAATATTTAAAGGAGATCTTAACACATTTGACATGTAAAGAAAATCAACGAAACTTATACAAAAGAATGACTATCTATCTATCCATCTATCTATCTATCCATCTATCCATCCATCTATCTATCCATCTATCTATCTATCTATCCATCTATCCATCCATCATCAGAGGACCAATCATGCTAACCTGTGTTGACAGATTAAAGGCCTAGCAATTGGTTTTGGTGGATGATGTCCAACATGAAGCTGTGTAACCAAACTGATGCTAGACTGCAAAGTCTCTCTAGAGAGATTTAAGTGTGGGTACAGAGAAACTGGAGTGTTGTTTGAGCTTCACACCTCTAAATATAAACACACCCAGCTGTCCTAAAACAGCGCACTGCAGAACAGGCTGGAGAGAGGGAGGGTGAGAGAACAAGCATGAGAGAGGGAAGGAGAGGAGAAAAATAGAGCTGCAAGGCTGATGCCAAGATAACTGAACCCTGATGAGGCCACTGTCCGAGAAAACAAAGAACTCATGAGAATCAACATCTGAACTCTTTCTCATGAGAAACTCAGGGAAAAAAAGAGTTTATTTATATTAAATAACATTTATATTAACCCTTAAAACACACAGCAATGAAGTGCAAAATTTTAAATAAAGGTAAAACACCTGTACCTGAACCACCAAAAAAAAAAAAAAACAATACAGAAAATTCTATGAACTGAGCAGAGCTTTTTTTAACAGTGTACTGTATGCAATTCTCACACAAATTACTTCATGTATGTACATGAGATGCATCTTCCCACATAAATCAAAGAAGAATCCTCACCACTCACAACTGATGTGCCAAAATCATTATAACAAGCAAACAATAATGTTTGGTAAATTGATGGTTTATCTGGATATTAAAATGAGGGTAGTAAAAGTTTCATGAAATCAGAAAAAAGATCTCTCATACAATCACTGTGTGTAGTTCTCATTACCAGGTAAATGCTTCTAAATTCTTATTCTTTTTGGATGTTTTATATGATTGACCAATGCTTTACATTGTCTGAACTGGATTTTGAATAATGTTGATTACCTGGTGAATAAATTGTCATGTTTGGATTAATTCTGAATTACTCTGAAATTATTTTCTCAAGTAGATAAAGTGAAGGTCTATGTTACAGTAAATCTGCGTCCAGTGTTCAGTACATACTAGATTTCAGGTTAGATAGAGCAGGTGGGATTCTAGGTGGACGCAGCAGGTGGGATTCTTGATTTCTGACTAACTGCTTGACTTGCTAAGCTGTTATGCAGTCGCGTTCACTCTAGGGGGCTAGACAAAACTACTATTGAATTAAATAGCAAGCATGGGCGCATTAAATAATATTAGTCATAATCTCTGGCTAATGATCAGACTGGTGAGTTTGCAACCATGAGATCCGTGTTAATGGCAGTGCATGACTTTGAGCAACATAGATTCCTAATGAACAAGTAAAATATAAAGTAACGAGTTCAATAGAATGATCAAACATTTATCTAAATTTGATTATCGAAAACTGATAAAAGGAAATTAAAGGAAAGACAGTTACACACAGGAATCCTTCTGCCACACCAATGGCTACCATCTTTGGACCAGTGGGTGGTCGCAACAGAGCGCTTCTCTCTAAATTCATAACTGATGAAATGCAATGTAATGACAGCTGTAAACAAGTGGAAAGAGAGTCTGATACCCTAAATCATCTGCACACGCATACATTCTGCAGTTCACACTGAAGGCTGCTGCTGTGAATTAATGAGGCACAAAAAGAAAAAGAAAAAATGCTCCAATATAACAGGATCCATTACTGAGCCCTGGTATACACCAAGCAAAACACCTGTTCTTTCCACTGCTGAAACAGGCCTGTAGCGTTAATGCAAAAAGTCAGCAATACAACTAACAACTTCACTAAACTGTAAATATTTTTTCAAAGTTTTAAATAAAAAATATTTTTGGAGTATGTATTACTTGTGTCCCATTGTAATAAATTGTGAAATTTACTCGCAATTTCTGAGTGAAAACTGTTTCTACACCAATTTAGTGTGTGAGTGTGTGTATATTTGGAAGCAAAACAAAAAAATGTTGGGGCTACTCCTAAATCATCAACACATCTGAGGGTGAAAAGGTACCACATTACTGAAGAGAAGATAATTTCTCCTCTCTTTATGCATGGATGAGGCGGATAGATGGATGAGTCACTTAAAGGATGTTATAACAGTGTGGGCACTGCACACACCTGTATTGCCGTAGCATCGGGCATGCTCAGTCTGCGCACAAACTGCCCACTCTGTCCTGTGAAGAAACGGTCTGCCCCCGAGCCCCAAGTCCCACTCAACGGCCGACCCGTATTGTAGAACATAAAGGTGTCACTTCCTGAGGTGGCGGTCAGGCAGGTCTTATAGCAGTATGTTTTGGTTAAAGAGCCATTTCCTCGGACCTCAATGTAGTGTGGTTCCACTTTCAGGTCTCTCCGCATCACCGCAGACTGTTGCTGGACTGTGACCCCGCCAGCAGCGCCACCACCTCCACCTGCGGCTCCACCTCCTCCACCACCTGCAGCCACACTACCACCTCCACCGTCTTTGGGTGCCTTCTTCACTGTAGTCTTCTTTTTCTTCTTGGACCCACAGCAAGGTGAGCAGGAGCAAGCATCTGGGTGGCTGCAGTAGGCATGGCAGCGAACAATTGCTAGGACGAAGATGGTGAGCAAGAAAACAAAGGTGGTTGCACTCAGGGCAATGATAAGATAGAGGGTTACATGGGAGAATATCATTGTGCCGTGTGGCCTGATAATGCGTTTTGGGTCTGGGGCCACTTTGGGTGGGAGCTCCATAACGGCAATGTTGATTGTTGTAGATGCAGAGCGGGGAGGCAAACCATGATCTCGTACATGCACTGTGAGGCTAAATACAGTAGAATTGTCCTCGTTTACTCGCCGTGTTGTGCGGATTTCACCTGTGTACTCATGCACCTTAAACACGTCCAATTCCAGCGGGTGATGGAGGCTGTATAGCAACCAGGCATTTTCTCCAGCATCTAAGTCCCAAGCCAGGACACGGGAAACAAGGACTCCAGCCTCTGAGTTACGCAAAATAGTCTCTGTGGAGTGTGAGCCGTTTGCCGCTGGGAGAACAAATTGCGGGCTGTGGTCGTTGGAGTCCATGATGTAAATATAAACAGTTGCCACTCTGCTCAAAGGTGGCACACCGTTGTCTTGAGCTTTAACCTGGAAATGAAACTCACGCAACTTCTCGAAGTCAAACGATCGCAGTGCATACACCTCACCTGAGGCAGGTTTGACAGAAACATACGATGCCACTGAAATACCATGGTTGTTGTCATTTAGGACATTGTATGTGATGCGAGCGTTCTCACCGGCATCAGGATCTGTTGCCTTGACTATGCACAAAGGTGCACTGGGTGCATTGTTTTCTGAGACATAAACAGTGTATGAAGTCTGTTCAAAACGTGGTGGATTGTCGTTTACGTCTGCCACTTCTACTCGTACCGTCATTGACGATGAAAGAGGTGGCGTTCCACCATCCGTGGCTGTAACTGTGACGTTGTATGATGCTATTGTCTCCCGGTCCAGGAAGGCAGAGGTAACAATGGTGTAATGGTTTCGGAATGATTTGATTTTAAAAGGTAGATTTGGGGGGATGATGTCCAAGCTGACCTGCTTGTTTTGTCCAGAGTCTTTGTCATTTATGCTTATTAAAGCCACCACAGTGTCTGCACGAGCGTCCTCCCGAACTGGACTGGAGAGTGAGGAGAGCACAATCTCAGGAGGGTTATCATTCACATCCAGCACCTCCACCACCACTTTACAGTGTACTGCTACGGCCCCTTGGCCTCTATCTGCTGCCTGGATATACATCTCATAGCTGTTGGTTTCTTCATAGTCCACATTGCTTTTAACTCTAATTTCTCCACTGTCTGTGTCTACAGAAAACACCTGCCTCACTCTATCTGGCGTGTAAGAGCTAAATGAGTAATACACCTCCCCATTGGAGCCCTCATCTCTATCTGTGGCGTTTAATTTAATTACCAGCGCGCCAACAGGAGAGTCTTCCCGCAGTTTCACTTTGTATACGGAACTGCCGAAGACTGGCACGTTGTCATTTGTATCCAAAACGCGCACGTTGATTTTAGCTGTGCCTGAGCGCGGAGGAGATCCGCCGTCAGTAGCGGTGAGTAGAAACTGGTGCGACTGCAAAAGCTCACGGTCGAAAGGCTTTTTCAGCACGAGCTCTATGTGTTTTCCGTCCGCAGGTGGTTTGGTTGAATCGAGCGCCAGGTGTTCGTTTGAGGTGAGGCGATAATGGCGCACGGAATTTGAGGCGTCGTCAGAATCCTGCGCGCCCTCAATGGAAAACCGCGCGCCTGGCTGTGCGCCCTCGGAGATCTCCAACTGGTACTCGTCTCGCGGGAAAAGCGGCGAGTTGTCATTTGCATCCAAAATCTCAACATCCACGTTGTGCTGTTCAAATGGGTTTTCTAACACCACGTCGAGACTAAGCGTGCAGGTGCCGCTGAATTCACAGAGCGTTTCGCGGTCAATCCGGTCGCTTATAACAAGCTTACCAGTTTTGTGGTTGATGCTGAAGTATCGCCTCGCACTGTCGGAGCTGATTCTGATCCGACGAGCCGAAAGCTTTCGCAGATCCAGCCCGAGATCCCGAACAAGATCACCAACGACAGTGCCGCTCTCCAGCTCCTCCTGAATGTTGTAGCGTATTTGTGCATTTGTAAGGACACTTAGTACAACAATGAAGAAACAAAAACAAAGAGGCACGTTCTCTTTTATGCAGCTACATCGCCCTGCAACAGCCATCGCAAGCTGGCAACATTCACAGACGGATTAAAAACCGCTTTCCGCCTTAAGAGCTCCCCGCGCAACAGCTCCAAACCACGGCATCCACAAAACGGGCGGACTATGTGCAGGATGACCAAAGCCTCCGCTGCGCTGCCTTTTTAAACAGACATTTTCCTGCTTCATCCATGTTCTCTCTTTTGTTTGCGCCCCAGCTCTTTTTTCTTCTCTCCTCTCCGCGAAGCTGACTCTTGTTTCCCCTCACAAGGGTGCTGCCTATCGCTCCCTCTCTCTCTCCTGTCCCCCTCCCTTACCCTGTGCAGTACAGGCGGGGGATGGGAGCAACGCGCTCTAACCAGCGCAGCTCACTGCATTTCAGTACCTCCGAACAAAAACATCGACAAACCTATTAACAACCAGATGCGCCACGAAGAATAAAAAAACACAAGTATAGTAAGAAAATGATCGCTTTCTCTCGCCTTTTACAGCATTCGTCTTGTTTTCAAAACATTCTCATTAATATCGATTTAAAACAAGGCTGCATTCATTCACAGAGACAGTGCCACCGCCCTTTTTTCATTGTCTCCTCTTCTCAGCGCACAGCTGAGGTGACTAGATGGGATTCTGTACAGAAAATTGCTCACATTAAATGACATTTCACCTACATACGAACGACGAATTATATTTTATCACAACAACATATTTGACTTTTGAACATATACATTTGATTTGCAATGTCCTGACTAGTTTGTTCTCGCCTTTCATTTCAGAAAGCCATCTCACTTCTCACTGTCTATGCATTAGATACTGCTGACAGCCTTTATAGTTAGCCGTCATCATTCACTCGCTGGCCACTCACTCGCTCTTCCTGCTGTCCCCAAAACTGACAGATTAAATTGTCACCGATTACAAATGGAGCATCTCTGACTGCTTTGCCTCCCCCACACATTTCCTTCCACTCTCTCTCTCTCTCTCTCTCCTCTTTTGCTTTTAACATGGGGCTCATTCACTCGTTCATTTTTATGTACAACACAGGTGCAGGGATAAACGTTCTGATGCAAGCCAGCCCACCAACATAATGCCACTTTCCTCTCCTGTGAACAAGAAAAAAAGTGCACACATACACATGCAATTTCGCCACATTTTTCCAATTGATAATCAACAGCAAACCAGAGGAATATAAAAAATGAGGCAAACGCAACAAAGCGATTCATCCTAAGGATGCAACATGAGAAATGCTGCAATACAAAGTTACAAGAAAAAAAAAAACAGAAAAAAACAGGCTAAAATAGAGATAAAAGAAAGTATAAAAGAATAAGCAGAAAATTCCCTTTCTTTTTTTAAAATAAATATATAGAGTTAGGGATGCTAACGGTAAAGATGACGGTTCGAGAAAGTGATTTTGAGCCACGGGGCGCCGCTCATTTACCAAACGCAGGCATTATTAGTTTAAGACATCCAAAGAGCCATAACAAATCAAAGATATAAAAAGCAAACTAAAATACCGCACATTCCTAATACGGGTTGTGGGTGCAGTTCTGTTGCAGGCCTTTTGATGCCAAGTTTCAAACGAATAACGGTACCTCACAGGAACCAATAAAACTCCTTAATTAATCAAGGCCAGGTGGGAAGTTACATCAGACCGCCAACAGTCCTGACACTGTATCTATTAATGTCCACTGGGGCTATTAGATATCCATTGGAAGCTATAAACTCTGGGCAGTGTATTTGTCTCTCTCTCTTTCCAGTCAGACATTAGCACACATCTCACACAGCTCACGCTGTCTCTGGGCAGAAGTGGATGGATTTTCACGGTGTATTGCAATGCGACTACGAATGACGGTTAATGATGACTTGAAACGATGATGACCTGAGCTCATGTAAATTCAATTAAAAACAGGAATTCGATTCGATTATAATGTCTCTTTCGTCTAATGTGATAAGCACGACGAGTAATCGCCTAAGGCGGTCCTAAACACCTGCCTACCTTTTGTAGCCAAGACTTGAAGGTATGTGACTACACAGAAATAAACCTACCCTGACAAATATTTACTTGATTAAAAAATGTGACAACTAGCGATGTTGACGACAAGTGATGTCTGGCAGGCTTTGCTGTACAAACAGCAGTGCTATGTTTAGGGTGATGTTTAGACGGAATGACCTAAAAGAAACTGGTGCTTTGAGTCATCATACCACAGGCGAGTAAAAGCTCCCCCACATTCCACCATTTCTCGCCTCAGCTCTCCTCTCTCTGCCTCTGGAGAATCCGCGCGCCCACGACAAGACAGAACGCAGCGACGCGCTCTGATCAGAACGGTGTTTAGAAGAAAGACAGACAGAGAGCGAGCGAGCGAGCGAGAGAGAGGGTCCAAAACCTCTTTATTGCTTTAAAACAAAATCAAAATCAAAAACAAAAACAATACAACCAGTTCAAACAATTCCAAAGTACATAGTAAATATACACAGTATATATATATATAAATACTGTATATATATATATATATATATAGAGAGAGAGAGAGAGAGAGAGAGA